GTGCAGGTGTTGGCATCTCCAGCCCTATCTCCTTCCCTGTGACACCCGCCCCCCTCTCCGGAACAGGCCCAGGCAACACTGGGCCCAAGTCCCTTGCCATAACAGGCCCTGCCACAACAGGAACAGTGACTAGAACACCTGTGTTGTCACTACTGGGAAGAGTGTGTGCATAGAAGGGACAGTGGGTGGCACCACCAGTCCTGGGGCAAGTACCACCAATGGAAGTGCTGTCCTTTGTGGGACAGGGGTCTGGGGCAGCTGGGATCGATTTTTGCACCCTCAGGAACGGAGATGACATCTCTGGGACAGGGTCTGGCACTGTGAGGAGACGGAGAAGCTCCAGGACAGGGGCTGGAATCTCTGGGTCAGGGCCTCCTCACCAGGAGAGATGCTGTCTGCAGCAGCACAGGACAAGCCCCTCCTGGCCAGACCTGGCACTGCTGGTGCCTCCTCACCAGGTAGCTGTGACAGAATCACAGAATCACAGAATGATGGAGTTTGGAAGGGACCTCTAGAGATCATCTAGTGCACTCCCCCTCCTCTAGCAAGGACATCTAGAGCATGTGGCACAGGGTGGCATCTAGGTGGGTTTGGAAGATCTCCAGAGAAGGAGACTCCACAACCTCCATGGGCAGCCTGTTCCAGGGCTCTTTCATCCTCACAGTAAAGAAGTTCTTCCTCATACGGAGATGGAACTTCCTGTGTTTCAACTTACACCCATTTCCCCTTGTCCTATCACTGGCCAGCACTGAGAAGAGCTTGGCCCCCTCCTCCCTACATTCCCCCTTCATGTATTTATACATATTGATTAGATCCCCTCTCAGCCTTCTTTTCTCCAGAGAAAACAGGCCCAAGTCACTCAGTCTCTCCTCGTACCATAGATGCTCCATTCCCTTTATCATCTGTGTTGCYYTCCACTGGAAACTCCCTAGAAGCTCCACATCCCTCTTGTACTGGAGAGCCCAGAGCTGTTCACAATACTCCAGATTTGGCCTCACCAGAGCTGAGCAAACAGGCACGCTTGCTTACCTGAAGCCCCCCTGGTTCTCCTCCCCATCTCTGGTTCTGGTAGTGGCTCTTCTGTATGCAGTGGTGCCTCCAGCACTGAAGCCCCTCATTTACAGCATGAGGAACAAGGWGATCAAGGATGTCCTGAGGAAACTGACTTTGTGGACATTTTTCASTACTGATAAAATTGCCATTTYYCTCCACAATKRCACTTTCYGTAYCCCATCTCGATTGAGCACTGTTTCTTCATGTTATTTTTATTGGGGCTTTTATTAGTAATAATAATGCTTGGCATGTTGCTACACGAGTCCTTGGATTGTTAGTACTCTTTCTGAGACTGCTTTCTCTCACCTGGTCCATTAAACTGTGTCTAACGGTGGATCAGGATTGGCTCCCTAATGGGCTCCTGTGTACTAATAAAGGTTCTACCCAGTGCACTGCCTGAAGGCTGAGCTTCCTCCACAGCTGGTGTTAATAATATGCCCAAGAACCTGCACTCTAGAAGAGCCTGCTGAGCAGCTTTCTCCATGGCTTCAGAATTAAAAAACTCATCATCTTGTAATGATCTCTTTAGAGAACACAGGGTGGATTTGGGAATAACTTACCAGGGACCAGGAATAGTGTAGAGGTTGAGTGGTCCTGCATTTACATTGCCAGAGCCATGCCACATGTTAAAGCACAGGGTCAGATTCCTGTCTTTCTGCAGGGAAGCTGGAGATGCCAGGAGAGCAGTGAGTGGAGCCTCCCAAGGGGAGAGGTCCTCCATGGTGGAGGCACCTAAAGGTGAAGCACTAAACCCAGATATGTGGGGGCAAGGCAGAGCTCTGCAATATCAGGGGAAGCAGGGAGGGCACAGCAGGCACAGGGGATGGACACTGGAGAGACTTACGCTCGGAAATACCAGGGGCAGGTTGTAGAAGGACCTGGACACAACCAGTGCCCTCCGAAATGTCCATAGCTCCCCACAGCACCTGACACATCCACAGACTCCTGGAGGAATTCGAGGCCACAAACCCCATTTGGCTGAGTCTGCTTCCCACCTTGAGCAGAAAAGCAGCAGTGGAGACACCTCCTGATCCCTGTGTGCCCAACTGCCCATTTGCTCTGCGAAGCAGCACCATGAGCTCAGGGTCTTGTGGGGAGAGCAGGGCAGGGAACTGTGTGAACAGCCAGCAGAACCAGAGGAGAGGTTGTTGAGATGAGAAGGAAGTGAAACTGGGCACAGAAGGATCTTGGAGAGAAAAATGCTGACGTTGAACACAAGACAATATTCAGACTGTGGGTCCACTACAGCGAGCTCATGGTGCAGAGGCAGACAACCCTGCTGGGCTGGCCCACCACACAGCCTGGGAATCAGATGAAAAAGGATGAATGTTTCCCATCCTCCTAGCTCACAGTGGCATCAACCCTCCTGAAGGGCGGCACTGAATATAAGGCTGAGATCCCTTGGARGGGCCTGCATTGAAGGAAGCAGGGCCCAGGAGCCACATCACTTTGCTGCTGTCTCTCAGCATTTGTCCCCATCTCACATCCTTGAGACAATCTCCCCGACTCTGCATGCTGCCCATTGCTCCAAAGGCCCCATTCAGAGCAGGCTCCATGCCCAGATGGACGACTGTGTGTGCAGCTGTGAGCCCTGGGAGGTTGAGCCCGCTCCTGCTCCACAGGGCTGGTAGGGAGCATTCAGAGATGGTGCTGGGGCTGTCTATCGGGCCAGTAGAACATCCTCCTCCCATGGGGACCTTCAAGCAGGGTCTCTGACAACAACGTTCAAGCCCAGACTACTTTTCTGTTGTTTTTTTTTTTTTTTTTTTGAAAGGAAGAGAGAGGAACAAGTGGCCTTGGACACTCTTTCTAGCCCCAGCCCCTCACAGCAGCCATTCCCAGCACTGCACATTGCCCATGGTCCCAGGAGGGCTCCTGTTGGAAGGTATCCAGCTCTGTGTGCCTGCTGAGGACAGCAGCTCTATGGGCGCATAGCTGCCCTGCCTGGGCTCTGTGTGGGCCCCGAGCCCAGCAGAGCCATCAGCACGGCCTTATGCTGAGCCCCGGGGGACAGGAGCAGGAGTGCTCAGGGTCTGGGCACTGGTGGGAGGCCACTGGGCAGGCAGTGCTCCCTGAGGGCTCTCATGGGAACCCTGCTGAGCAGATGGTTCTCTTCCCCTGCTCACACCGTGTGCTGGGTCGTGCCTGCACAGGAGCCATGTGCAGGGCAGCAGAGCTGGGCCTGGGCAGGAATGGAGTGCAAATGAGAGCCATGCTGCTCCAGAAGGTCCTGTTGGTTGTGGAAGGGGACTCAGTGCTGCTAGTGGGGCTGGGGTGTCTTTCAGGGCTGCAGCCAGCGGCACCACCTGCCAGGTCTCCCAGACCCAGCACAGAGAGTTGGTGCCAAGCTCTGCAGCTCCCAGTGTCCCCTCTCTCATGCCACCCTCAGGAGCACCCCCAGGTGTGTCACCTCCTGCCTGAAGGCAGAAAGGAGCAGCTGGAGCTTCTCGTCTCAGCCCTTCTGACCCAAGTTCTGCCCTGGTGTCATCTTATGTCTGCACACACTCTCTTCTAAGGGTAAATCAAGTCCTGCAGAGCAGAGCTCTTCTGGAGCTGACCACCACAGGGTGCTGAGAGGAGCCATGACACTGCAGAAGCTCTCAGTCTGGAGGGGTCCTGGATCTGAACCCAGAGCAAGGGAGCTAGCTGTCAAGCTGTCACACTTCATTTGGAAGGAGACTGTTCCCATGTGCTTGAGCGGATGGTCATCAACCACTTGGCCAGGTGGATGAGGAGATTATTAAATTGGGAGTTACTCACTGGAGAAGAAGACTCCAGCAAGRGAGAGGAAGT